TTTTCCCCGCGCCGAAAAAAATTGATCAAGCGAGCGGAGTAATCCGCTCGGCTTATGCGCGACGTATCGCCGGCTACAGGAAGGAACTAAATTGGCCATTAGTATCATTGACGTGACACCGTCGCCGCGTCGCGTCGACTCTCGCGCGGAACGTCTTCGCGGAGGAGTCAGCGCGACACTTCGATTTAGAAACTCACGCCGCCTGAACTTTCCCATTAACCGGTTAATTTGAATACGTCCCGCGCCGCGTCGTGTGACTAACGATCGAGCTCATTGATCTCGGCCTTGATGCATCGCGCCTTGGTGCTTTAAATGCACCAAGGATGGCACGACCCAGAAAACGAGAATATGGCCTTTTTCCTTCCTCCCTTTGCCGAGCTTGACGACGTGTCTTCCGGGAATTTCGAAAATTTTTTCTCCTCCGTAAATTAGTTCTGCTGATTTCGATCCATAATTACTGACTTTTTATTATCGGTTAACGATTACGTTCGTATACTGAATTTAACTATTTTTGTACATGGTTCTCTCATTAAAAATTCTCGGATTAAAACGCTTTTTGCGGGTATTTAGCAAGCTTTGTTATCAATTATCTATACAAATGAATTAGTAATCGGTTATTATTGCAAACATTTCTGACATAAATTTGATGTAAAATCTATCGTCCAAGATAACGAATAATAAATGGCAACGCTGATCGGATAACTGTTGAATTATATTCGTAATAATGAACTTTAATTAATTTGTTCGTATTGATGATTGTTGGTATCTTTTCCAAGTCGAATTTATAAATTTTCAATCGTAACGTTTGTTGAAAAAAAATTATCTAAATTTTTTATAAAAATGTGTTTATACAGATAACTGCATATTTAAATGTGCAAACAGCGAAATATTGTATTAACGTTACACCTAGCATCGCTAAATTGCTGTAAATTCTCCGTTTTAAGAAACTGATAATATTTAAGTCTTATCGTTAAATTTAACAATTTAAATATTATCAGCCTCCAAAAGCGGAAAATTTAAAAAAATCGGTAAGCTGAAAGCATTCATTACTTTTGCAGATTTAATTATTCTTGTGATAAAATTAACATTAAAATTCGTAACAGAGAGGACCAAGGAGAGATTTTTCTTCCTCAAATCGTAAGGTTGCCGCAAGATAAAACGTACGAGCTGGTTGAATGACATAAGGCACACGCTGGCTCGAGATCGGGATGGGAACATCGGTATGGAGATAGCGCGATAATGAATTCGATCATCGCGAAGAATTTCAATGAGGAAGAAGCGCGTCGGCGCGAAATCAGTCGCGGGAAGGAGAGGTCTAAGAGAGATCCCAACGTAAAAGAACTTTTCAATCTCTTCTCGTGGTCCTGCGAAGGATGAAAGGATCTCGTAAATCGTACGATTCGTTTTACGTTCTCCTTCAGAGCTCCAATGTTTCTGCTCTCCCTCCCTTTTCCGCGTTCTTCCGGGCGAACCGGGAAGAAGCCCCGATCGGTGTCACGCGAGGGTAAAGAGGGTAAATCAGTCCTAGACACTCACTTTAACGAGAGTAAATGCGCTCGTTTCCCGAGTACAAAATACCCTTAAGGCGGCTAATGCACTATTTGGCCATTTTCAGCTGACTAATATGCGAAACTCTTTAAATCGATTAACAATCCTTAAAGGAGCAGACCCTTCCTCTTTTATTTATATCTGCATATCTAGTTTTGAAAACTGAAAATAATTTAAAATTAATTATGTTCTCTGTACAGCAAATCTATCATCAGGGAAAACGTTTTACGATGTAATTTAAAAAACAAGTGATATGAATACAAATGTCATATGTAGGTGACATTTCTATTTTTATCTATCCTCGAATATCGGAGAAAGACGTATTTCTATTTATAATATAATCACGAGGAAAGGATATTTTTTACGTTAATCTTTGTAAATTTACATTAATTTTCTTCCGGTGGAATTTATTCTCGTGGTGAAGAGATTTAGATCTCACATTAAAATACGAAAAATCTGTGATCTGGATTTTACGTAAGTTGACGTTTGACTATAGTGGACAGATTCAAAGATTGGTGTTTAACGAGAATTAGCATATAATTTGCAAGTCTGCATTTATAAGTGCGTTTATTAGTGTCAGCTTTTTTTATTAGCTTTCACAAATTATGCAATATCGTGCAGTATCGTGCGGTAAAGTGCTTTTCCACGATGAAGTTTTATCGTTATCTCCTATGATAATGACGTTTCTTCTCGTACGGCCAGAGCTAAATTTAAGGGAAACGATCGTTAAATATAGGAGACAAACGGCAGCGTAATATGCGGGATACACTCTATACGGTGGCGACGTTACAAGGTGATTTTGAAGAGCCGTTTAACAATTCACTTTATCGCAATCTCGCGATGTGAAATGACCGGAGGGGGGGGGGCAGGGTTTAGTCAAAGAGAAAGGACGCAGTCAATCGGGGAGGAAACGTGCCGTGCTGGAAAGGGTGATAGCGAAAGCGTGCGGGAGGAAAAGGTAGAAACACAGGAGGCAACTGGTACCTGCAGAGCGAGCGAATCAATAGCCTCCTCGTAAAGATCTCTCCTCGTAAAAACACGACCAAAGCGGCGGAGGGGGGGGGAGAGTTTCTTTGCCATGGGAACGCTATCACGGTGGCCTCTCGTAATCGGAATTGCGGATTTAACGAACCTCCGATTTTGAATTAATTCGGATACGACGGCGTATTAAATTCCATTAATCTCGAGTCCTCGAACCCGGAAGCAGGGTCGGAACGGGGGAAGAGAGATCGGAAGGAGGCGAGGAGGCTCCGGCAATCCTGGGAGTCGGTTACCACGATCGCGGTGGAATATTGACAATAAAACGAACCGTCGTACATTCTCGTTACCGCGACAAATAATAATCCCACGCCGCCGATGTCCCGATGTAAGCCGAGAAAAACACTACGGGAGGCACCGTATATCTCCGGCCGGCGTTTATCGCGCGTTACCGGGACAGCATAGCGACCTAAAACCTACAACCAACGAGAGGAGAAGCGAGAGGGAGGGAGAGGACGGGGAAGGGGGCACTATCGTAAGAAATATTAAGGGTCGGGGCGAAAAAAAAAAGGAAAGCCCGAACCGGATGTTCGAATGGTCCATAAAATACGATGGTTGAATTGGCCCCGAGTTCTGTGACGCGCGCCGGGACGGCGCGGCGGCGGCGCGGCGCGGCGGTGTGAAAAATGTTCCAGCGGTGCCGCGCGATCGAAATGAAACGATCGCATTATTACTTGGGTGTGGTGGAAGTTACACCGGAAGGTCTTCGAGGTTCTCCACGGAGCTTTATGCCCGATCCGCAATCGAGTCGTTCCTCCTTTCTTAACTAAAAACCGTCGAGGCGTCGATAATTCGTCAGTTTCGCGAGCGAATAAAATTTCTTCTCCGCGCATTTTTTTAAATACAAACAGAATTCCGATGCACCGACGTGGATTTTACATCGCGATGAATTTTTAATTTGAGCTCTCGCTCGAAAGACTTTTACGCTGATTATGCTAATATTAAAAAGAATTATGTCGTTTTACGTAGAAAGAACCGTGACTGTGTATTCGTGATTTTATATTCATGATCCTTTAATCGGGGCAAAGAGAGAAAAAAAAATGCCGCGCATTAAGAAATATCGTATGCGTGTGGCCTTGTATCTCGTGTTTGCCATATCGGACAACGGGCAACTCGTTTGTTTTCTTTCTGGCAAAAATTCGGGAATTTAGGTTCAATCGAATATTTTTGTTGGTAACCTACCGTTTGGTAACGTATGGTATGGAAAATGAAAACCCGCTCTAGTCGACCTCCGCGGGCGCGGGCACAGTTTTTCGAAGCTGATGCACGAAAGCGTTTTTCCGGGGGACACTCGCGCACGACATTTTCAAGAAATTACCTCGCGCAATTTTCTACCTTTCGCTCGTATCTTTTACTACCTCTCGGCAGGAAATGATTTTGTATTTTACCGGCGAATGTGTACCGTGACATGTACTGATACGACGCTGGAATTATTCAACAAATTACGGTCCATAAACTTCAGTCGTGTTAAATATTTTTTTTAAGAGACGCACGCATATATGATTTGTCTAAGTTTGAGATAGAAATCGAACTTGTTAAATTTTTAAATGTAAATGTTCAGTAAAAGCGACTTGATAACAAAATGTTTTCAAAGAAATAAGCATTATTCGTTTGCAACATTGATTTCCTATTTTTGATTCGCGCTCGAATAATTTGCAAAACGTTCGGACATGAAAAAGTTAAACATTTAGAAAAAACATAATGATATTATTGAACGCATATTACATGCTTACAAATAATTATGTACACACGAAAAAAGTAAGCTGTTATTTCAATTTTAAGCATAATGAAATATTAAGAATAAATGAGTACAATGATTGTGTAATGAATATGTAAAAGGAGAGAGAGAGAGAGAGAGAGAGAGAGAGAGAGAGAGAGAGAGAGCGCAAGGATTACTCTTTAAGTAAACAAGAAAATTCTTTCTTCGCGAAAAATGATTTCTGAGAGAAATTTCTTTTTAATTTCATTCGTTTATAATTCGAAAAGAACCGTTAAGAAAAACCCTCTCAGCGCTGAATTGGTCAAGGAAGCAAGAATGGCGGTTAAGCTGGAAGAATTCTTAGGGCTTAGGATCCACCGCGTGTGTATCCCCGCTATTGAGCGGAAGAGGCGATCGCGACGCAAATAGAAAGGGGTAAGTCGAGAAGGACAGGCGAGTTTGTAGGATACACACACGCGGATGCAGGACGAGGGGGTGGCGCGAGGGAGGTGAGAAAAGAGAGTAGTGGTTTCCTCGTCAAAAAAGATGAAGTCAACGCGGTTTCGGGGGTAGGGCGGCCTGGCACACGGGGCCGAGCCCGCGGCGACGCGAGGGTGGCGAGGGGGGGGGAGGGTGGCGTTCTTTAAGGTAGGGGGCATGCGCGGGCGTCCGGGGGTGCAGAGCGGCTCTCGGAGGTTAGTCGCCTGCCAACATCACGACGTGCCGCTCGTGCCTCGCGATCGTTGGATTCACACGCACCTCGCTTACCGCCCCTTCCACCCTTCGCCGTTGTGCTTGTCATCCCTGCGCGTCATCATCGACGTTCCAATTTGTCATCGGCCCCCCGGCATCGATCGAGAAAAAAATCGGATCTTCCTGATTCGCCCTTCGGCGGTGTGAATCTCGCGAATCGAATCACGAATCCCATCGGACTGCGATTTTGAATTTGTCGGGAACAGCGCGCGTGTATTTTTACGCGTATATATACGACCGACAATCGCGCCCGCATTTCCGGGGATGCAACAGTGCGTCAGGAAAGTGTTCCGATCGATTCGTTAAAATGTGGATCGCGCGATCGCGACCGCGAACGAAGGACGATTGACCGTCTCGCTTGAGCGAACGTTTGTGCAGATCTTCGGCGATCGATGGTGCGATCCTGGAGCGATCAAAGTGATTGATGCACGATGACGGAATGAATGTGCGCGCGGGTGCGCGTCCACTCTTCCGGGACCAAATTACGCGATCCGGATAAGCAGTGCCGCGTCGTCCTCGACGAAGGGCGATCTGTCGTGAGGTTCGCGGTACCAGGCTGCGACGGATTCGTGGACCGGAAGTGACTGCACTGCGTGCGTGTCATCGTCATTGCGGTAAACGGCGCGTAAAAGTGCGCGTGGAACGGATTCGGTTGATTTCGAAGAGGATCGCAGTGCGTTTCCCAGCGGCGGTTTGGATGCGTGTCCGGAGTTACACGACGCAGGAACGCGCGACCCCGTCCCTCCAGGAAATTCATCGTGTCCGAAAAGTGTAGTTCCGAGATCCGTAAGTGAAAATTCATCCGTTCCTTTTATGTCGGTGTGCACGGATATATATTGAATCCCCCTGTGAAGTGAATGTACGAGAACGTTTCGAAAGAAGGCGTGTCTGCCTCTACAGCGGGATCTAATCCCTGAGTAATCTTTTCAATGGTGCGACGGTGGGATGTCTAGCCATTGACCAAGTCACTTAACCGAGTCACTTCACCGAGTCCGCATTTTCGCGGCTATAACGAATAAAATTTGTCCATGAACAATGGCGCCATATTACACTTACGCTCTTTATTGCTAAAATTTTCTTTTTTGTAGAGAGAATTAAATAGGAAATCGATTAGAAATGAAAACGGATTAGAAAATGAAAAAAATTTTCTAAATTAATTCAATTTAATAAAATATCAAGTAAATCGATTCCCAAATTATCTTTTACACATATTAAAAAATAAAATGTTTACCCGTCATACCACCCGTAATACTAAAACTTTAAGCAACGTGTTCATTATTTATAAAATCAATACTAAGGATTTCCTATTTGATCAATTTTGATGTTATCAATTATGTTCTCTGTAATTATATCAATATTAGCACGCTTTTAAAGTCGGTTTAAAGTCATTTCTATAATCGTGGAATCTTTATAATTTCTATAATAATAACTTTATTAAATTTAATTAACAGTTTTAACATTTGACTAATTTAACAAAATCTTATTGAATTTTGCACAATACCGTTTCCTTGAATGGATGTATTTTAAGGCTGATTTGTTATGTACTGAGTGGCTAATAATAAACGAAGGGCGCGCAATCGACGTTGTGCCGAATATCGTAATAATAATAATTATACAATGAGAGTCGTGTGTATATCTGCATGAAGGATTAATGATGCTTGTGGTTAAAAGGGCGCAACAATAATAGCAATTTCGCCAGCGCGTTTTGGTATAACAATAACAATAGGACTCTTAATACAACGGGCACTCTCTCGCGACGTGGACGGGGATCGGCGGCTGATAGATTGAAATACGCATTACCACGTTGTCGCGAGCGCGGCGAGCAATAATATTTACTTGCGTAAAACAGTAATGGAAAATTTTTGCTTGATCTTCTAATTGAATTTTACGCCATTTCCGTCGCGTAACGACGGCGGTTCGCGATGATGAGCGGGCGCGGGAGCGGCGGGGCGAGCTTCGATTTGCACTCCAGACGAAAAACGTAATACAATTTATCAGCGATGCCGTGCGAATTTTTCGGCGCCGAATATGCAATCGACTGTACACGCTGAATATGCAATGCGTTCTCCAACTTATATCTTTTGCGGAAGGAATTTTATTGGATGGCAGCGCAATAAAAATGCTCAAAGAGCTAATCGATTATCCTCCCATCGAGCCGAGTTTAGGATTCTCGTTTTTAGCTTTTACAGTTTCGTTTCGAGTTTGCCTACGGACTTTGCGCGTACGTTGCGCCACTGAAATAATATTAGCTATGCAGAGGAAAACGTGATAAAATATTCAAGCCGGTACTATAATATAACTTCAGTTGATCACATACTGAGCGTTATTATACTTTTATTTCGTTTGGGCGTAGAAAGATTTTTTTATGCGATAACCTCCAGCACGAAAACATTTTACGTTTGCAAATTCAAATAATGATAGTCGATTTTTCTCAGTTGTGACCGTTGCAATCACTAATAATAATAATAATAATAATAATAATAATAATAATAATAATAATAATTGATATCAATATTTTTATATAAAAATATTTAGTGAAAAAATGAATCTTATATCTATTTATAATCTACTTGTAATCGGCATTGGATGTAATATTTGATCAAGAATGTGAAATCTCTATTTTAACATTGGTAATGAAACGTGAAGACGTCGCGGTCGGAATTTTGGTACATCGGAAAATGATGTTTGAAAGTAACAGATCACGCGGCTATTGTCACATCCGCGTACACATGTGTGCACGGGGATCTAGGCTATATCGCGAACACGTGAAATAGCCGATTCGCCGACAATCAGTTACCTACTTATCTCCGTTCGCGAGGTGTAATTTCGCGAATAGTCGTCCATCGATCGTACTCTCCGTGCCATTTTCGGTGTACGCGATCCGTGCCGTAGAAACGGCCAATATTTTCTGACACAATAGAGCCAGCCAGTGCAGTGGAGATTACGCGCGGCTTCGGATGTTTAAGCGTTAGAATTTTTCCGTCGAACGGTCCTCCGTTGCGATGCACCGTAACGAATTGTCCCGGTGGACGTTGCGAGTCCATCAGTCTGCGCGCGGCGGACTTGTTAAAACGAGTAATTAACAGGCGCCCATTATCGGCTTGTTGCGTGGCACTCTAGGGGTGTCAGCGATTCTTCATTGAAACGTTATTCAATCACCCGCATTACGTTGCTCTGCTCGTCACCATTTCCATCGTGAAAATGAATCAATTTACGAATTAAAAGAAAAAAAAAGAACAATGGAGGTTCTTTTGATACGCAATTACGCCTGACAATATAACAACAGGCTAATGGAAGCCTGAGCGAGAGAAAAAAAAATTCGTGATTGATTAAATCGTATATCAAAATTATCGAATTGATAACTTCGATAAGATCGATTTGCTGGCAAACAATTTAATTAGAGAGACAGCGTAAAGGATTAGTTGAAACACTTTGATAACATTTCATGTTGTTATATTTTGTATTGCTGTAAGCAAAAAATTGTTATACATTTTTATTTATATTTATTTGAAAAACGTTCGATGTGATGAATGGATTTAATACACTCACGCTGCAGAACGAAATCCTTCTGTAGAAGCAATTGATGATTTAATATTTTGGAAAGCGCAGACAACGCGCCAGTGGAAAATTGTATGGCTTCGATAAACCCCGATTTTCACGTTGATATTCTGCGAAAAATGGATTGGTTTCCGATCATTTGAAACAAAGTACGTTACGTTTTCCCTTGCCACGTACGTAGGAATTGTTTTCTTAAACTCTCGAGCGATAAGGACTGTAATATTGACAGAAATAGAGCGACGAATTTCTTATAAAATTTAAATTTTGTACAGCAGGACAAATTTCGGGAGAAATATTTTCAAATATTGGAATAACATACGAAAACGGTATTCAGAAATTTAGTTTTTTTTTGTAATAATGTATTTGTTATATTAAATTGCTAATTACTTTTTACAATATGTTTAAATTACTAAGCGATAACACAACTCCAGTATTTGTATATATTGCATCAAAAATACGGCTTACCTTCTCAGGACTATTGCCGCTTTAAAGACGCTTCTAGTCATCCCTACGCGTTTGCCGTATAATACAGTTATGCAAATTAAATTAATAATAACGCTGCCGGCGTACCCGCCCGTACGCGATACCGTACCGGATCGCGATCTAATTGTTTCGCGGGTCATACCGATGACGGTCTGTGAGAACGCGTGGGAACGGGAGGGAAGGCGGGCGGGAGAGGTGCAATTAATTACTTTGATTATGATTAGCCGTGCGTTATGCAAATCGCTTAGAGAGGTAGATGCGCGACCGATATTCGGCCACTTTGCTAATTGCCCTTCGATGTGCTAGCGGTTTTAACGCGTGTGAAATAGTGCGAACGCAAAACTCAATTCAAACATACCCCGCTATTGAGTGCGAACATCATTGTGACCTGCACGATCGTAGGTATAATTTATAATCGTCAGAGCGCCGAAAGCGCATTCTCGTACTCGTTAATTCCGTCCATTAACTTCTTGCATTTTGATGGTGATTTGATTGAAATCCTCGATTAATGCTTAGAGACATCTAAATTTTTTTATTCTACATCTGTAAAGATACTCGCATCAATTGTAAATATAATTAAACATTTTTCGTGACATATACATTTTCACGTTGAATAAATTTCATAATTAATTCGCCGAATAATTAACAAAATTTTTGAATTTATAAAATTTATCTACACATTAAAAACATATTACTAGATTTATATGTATGTATATATATAAATTGGAAACACTCTTTTTCTCTGAGGATAAATCAAATGTTACATGTATATCGATAGACAATAAACGAACATCTTTATGAACTAGATTCTATTTATATTAACAATATAAATAGATTCATGAAAATTATAAGCTGTAATTACAATGAATAGCTCAATTCCGCGTATATAGGCATAGCCCACATTTTGTAATTCCGTTTCGCGATGCTATGATTAATCAATCATTCACTAGAGGCTATGCCGATCCCATTTCAATAGATACCATTTTCCGCGATTATAATTCAAAGCGTTATCGAGTCACTGAGCGAGTAACTTACGGCGTGACAGCCGAGGTAATGCGGAATGAGAAGATGATCGATTAAGCTATTTTCAAGTTTCCCGATACGCGCGCACGCTTCGCAATTCAAATTGCCGCGAGACTGATGCCAAGCGCGCGCGTCTCATTTTCCCGGACGTGAAGTGCCAAGATATTCGAGGAGATGATCGACCGTGCCCTGTCATTCTCTTTCGTCTTCGTTAATTTCCGTGCGCGTCGTCGGTGTGTGTGTGTGTGTTTGCGTGTGTGAATGTGTAACCGCCGTATGGTACTTGCCGACAAAATTAGGATCTGTCCATTCCCCGCACTCGACACAAATGCGACCCGTAGGAGCTAGCCGTCATAAAAAATTCCATTTCACGCTGGCACGAGAGGAGGCAATAATGGCATACCAACCCCCTGCCCGGATTTCTTTTTTTTCCTCTAATGTTACGACACACGACCGACAAGAATTACATGAGGGACACGAGCGTCTGTTTTTACACGACGTGTCGCCGTCCGTCAGGCCGGTTGATCATAAGAGATCACGAAGAGAATTTCTTTCTCATTCTCGATGTTATGTAATGCACGATGAAAGACGACGACGGATTTATTTGTACCTATGAATCTTTGACATTTTGTTATTAAGAGAAAAAGATAAAATAATTCAGCAATCGGTAACAACATTTTTACAAATGTTAATAAAATTTATTGCGATAAATGGACACAATA